CATCCCTCCCAACATCATCCAGGATCATCACCTGTCCTACACCCAATGTGTCCTACATCCAACGCTCTTCAGACCTTCTGGAGATAGACAGGGATCCTCCTTGGGACATTGTTCTGACCATGGGTGAATCAGCCTTTGCCTTTTCTGGTCTCTCGGCCACTCAGATAGACCCTTGCCTTGGGATGCTGCCTGTCATGCTTCTGCCTGCTCTGTGGTTCTCATCCCTCCCAACATCATCCAGGATCATCACCTGTCCTACACCCAATGTTTGCATGGGATCCAACGCTCTTTAGACCTTCTGGAGATAGACAGGGATCCTCCTTGGGACATTGTTCTGACCACACCCTTACTTTTTCAAAGTACTTTCTGGTTTCCAGTTTTGCTTTCATGAAACTTCCGATTCCCCTTTCTATAACTTCACCTCCTCTGTGAACCCTTTCCTGTTCCATGTCAACACCAATGCAGACTGTCATCTCGCCTTAAAGCCCTCTTGAGCCACTCACTCAAGCATGAAGGTAAACCTAGAATTTGCATTTCCTTGCCTTAACGGCCTCTTGAGCCACTCACTCAAGCATGAAGGTAAACCTAGAATTTGCATTTTGAAATTAAAGTCCTTCCTTTGTATAGTCTTTTACCCCACTTGGCAGTGGGATAGATTTCTTTGAAGGTCACCACCTGGTTTAGGCTGAAGCTTCCTGCATCTTCCACTGGGTTCCCCGACCACATATAGTTTTGTCTCTCTCTGCCCTGAATCTTTGACTCATTCCTGCATTGCCAGGTTTCTGGTCATTCTCTCTGGAACAGTTAGCTGCCTGGGTTTCAGTTTATCCACATCTCTTGGGCTTCTTCCTCTCCAGTGGGAACTGTCAAGACCCTTCTCCCAGCAAAGACAACACTCCCATCCCAGGAAATCGTTCCAGCTTTAGCTATGAGATAACTGTAATCCTGCTGCACAGAAAACAACCCTTCCTTTCATCAAGTTCATATCCGTGTTTTTCCAGATAAGTAAAAGTAGGTCATGGGCAAATCATGCCGTTTCAATATGAAAATGGATTTTTAAGAAAACACTTAACTCATTCTTGTACGACTAAAGCGGCATTTCCTGAGCCAAGTAGATTATTTAACACTGAATGTTTTTTTGATAAGTAACTGCTTGACAGTGAGCTACTTTCTGCGGTTTTAAAAGTTAACAGGGAGGGTGTATTTCCTAAATCAATTCTGAAGAATTTTGACTTCAAGTAAGCTTATTGTTAACAAGTTCAGAGATTTCCATTCTGGCTGAAGATAATGATGTCATGTTTTTAATTCCCTTCCCCTGGCTTGAAACCTGAGAATGCCAAGTCTCAGAGTAGTATCCCTGGGGCTGTGCTGCTCTGTGTGGGCCAGTTCCTTAGTTCCACACAGAATCTAGTACAGTGGTGTGCCCCTTGCCCCTACCTCCCAGAACCTCACTCCCCTGAAGTGTATTGGCACCAGGGAAGAGCCATCACAGCTTCCATATGAAGTCACTATGTCAAAGGAACGCAGGAAAGGGTATTTGGTCAAAATTTCTGAGAATTGGTCATTTCAGATCCACACCCTTCATTTGGCTCGGCTTCCTAGACTGAGCTTAGCTCATACCTAGACTGGTCCCAGGTACAGTGCAGGTATTGGGCATGAGCCCTGGAGTGATTGTCTCATTGACCTCAAATGTAATCATCAATGATTGATACAGTGTTTTGCTGGACCCAGAGAATGTCAACCCTAAGGTCATCCCAGCACTGATAGTCAAGGCATTCTAGGGATTTTTCTTCTTCACAAAGGACAGTATTAACATTAAAGAAAATAATGAAAACCCTAGGACACCTGGAATATTAATGTCTGTATTTAGCCAGGAGATGGTGGTGACCTATTTTTTTTCCCTATATGTATCTTTTCTTTTCAAGATGACCATGCACTTACATAGCCAGAGAAGGGACTGTTGTAGAAAATACCTGCCTTCAAGAGAGGCTGTGGTGAGGCCTTGATAGCCACACTCACCCTTCACAAGAACATTGACTGTAAAATAGTCACCAAGGGATGTGGGTGGGTGGGATGTACCTAAATGGAAATGGCATCTGGCTCTATCTAGTTTGATAAAAGGCCAAGAGAAAATGAGATATAAAAATACTATCACAACTTAGTGAAGGGAAATTTAGTAGTATTTTTTGTTCATGTTATGGTAAATTTGTACAGAAATTCCTTTGTAACCCCGGCATCTAGGCTTGGCCAGAGAGGAAAAGGCTCTCTGGTGGGTTTTGTTTTGTTTTTTTAAAGATCTGTGGTAATTCTCATGTGTAGTCAAGGTTGGATCTGACGCCAGAATCACAGCCCAGTTTTTTGTTGTTATTGTTTGTTTGGTCTATTTGTTTTTGTTTAAAAACAAAAACAATGACGACAGAAAACTCAAAAAGACTCAGGGCAAAGATGGATGTATTTCTATTAAACTTGAGTGATTCTACCAGAATCACAGCCCAGTTTTTTGTTGTTATTGTTTGTTTGGTCTATGTGTTTTTGTTTAAAAACAAAAACAATGACGACAGAGAGAAAACTCAAAAGACTCAGGGCAAAGATGGATGTATTTCTATTAAACTTGAGTGATTCAACTCAGAAAACAGAGCAAGAGGTTTGGAGTCTCTAGTTCCTAAAGCCAGGCCAAGAGTTGTCTGCTGTGGTCTACAATGTGTGGGAAGACAGCATGGTAGGAGGGAAGTATCTGCTGAGTTAGATGGATACCGGGACAGAGGTGGGTTGGAAGCCCCAGAAGAAAATGCCTGCTTTTTCTAGGACTCAGACAGTGTTCAGAAGTGGCTTGGGAGTGGGATACAGAGCAAAAGATAAATAAAAAAGTAAACCAGTGGAAGCCAACCCCAAATTTGTCATAGTTGCTCAGACAGTGTTCAGAAGTGGCTGGGGAGTGGGAGACAGAGCAAAAGATAAATAAATAAAAAAGTAAACCAGTGGAAGCCAACCCCAAATTTGTCATAGTTTGGTGTCATGAAGGCTTGTGAGGTGTGGTCCTTGGGTACCACCTGTATTAAGGGCTCCTAGAATGGCTACAGCACTGCAGATTCCAGAACATTCTCAGATCTTTGGGTCGACATAGAGGAAGCTTTGCTGTCTACAAATACTCCATACCTTGAAACCAGTGATCCACTATCATAGTTCCATCTTCAGTGGCCTCTGTTGGCTTGCATTGGTCAGCAGGAGTCCTGTGAGTGTGAGGAAATGTACTGGCCCTTTTCACCTGTCTCAAATTCCATTAGTCCTGGCATCAGCCCTGGCCAACGTACAGCAGCACATTTTAACTTTACCAAAGTAGCTAGGAAGCAGGAGTGTGTGGGTTCAGATTCAAGGGTTTCCGAGTCTGAGTTCCTCTATTTGCCCAGCCTCCCACAGAGGAAGTAGGAACAGATGGGGAAGCCAGGGCTATGTTCTGTGGAAGAGCATCTGCCCTGAGTAAGCCTTACCAGTGGTTCAGGAAGGCTGAAGAGAGACCAACAGCAGGAAGAAGCCCAGCATAGCAAGTCAACTCTTATCAGCCTCAAATCTTAAGCACTTGGTGCCCTAGAGGAACTGGTGAGGACCTTTACCATTTTCTTGTACTATTTATCTTTACAGTCCCATTATGAGTCCTCAGTGTCAGAATTTCAGACACACATAAACCTGTGTCTAACTCACCAAAGTGAGGACTTGAAGCCAGGTGTTACTTGACGGGGTGGCACTTCTTTGTCGCAGGTGCATGGCGAGGTCTGTTGCCATCTCAGGTCTGTTTTCAAGGCAGATTGCCCTGAAACAGGTGGAGGTATCAGGGACACGAGAAGCATGATGTTCCAAAAGAGAAAACAGGATGCTGGATGGGAGCAGTATGAGTGGTGTGCAGGGGCTGGCTCTACACCTGATCTAAAGGATACACATCTCTTCTGTTGTCCTGAGGTTGTTTGGCTCAAGGTAGAGACTGAGACCTAGTTTATAACTTTTGTGCTTAGTGTTCTACAGTAGCCACTCCTTCCCTAAGAACATGGAAATCCTCACTCTTAGATCCTACCCTAGTGCTCTAGCCTTGCTTCCTCCTTCCAGGCATCACAAGAGCATCTATGTTGTGCTGTCTGTCAAAGGCAGGTCTGCTCCTACCTCAGGCTGTCTGTAGCCACTAGTCCCAGCCTGGATGTTCTAGCCCTGCTGCTCAGCTCTCTCTGACTCCTTCATAGGCTCACATTTAATGTCACAAGATGAGCATCCCCAGTTCTCCCTGCAGTGTTCCAAACGGAACTTGTCTACAGCAGGTATCACCAGCTTGCATTGCTATCTTCATTTGGCTTATTTTCACTGGTAATTTTCATGTTGAACAAAAATGTTTTTAATGATTAGAAGGAAAAAATGGAAAACTGAAGACATTTAGCATGCAAAGGATAAACTAATTTCTTGGGAGGATTTCCCATTCAGCAAGAAGAGACAGCAAGAAGTGCTTCATGATGTGGGTCTGACAATATTCGTTCTAATTTATAATTTGATTTTTTTTCTGACAGATGGGTCATGAATCTGATTGGACGCTACCAACGAGTTTCAGGATCAGAAAAGATAACTCCACGATGGGAACAGGACTACCATCTACAGCCCATGGGCAAGCTGGGGTTGTTCTATGAGTATCTGGAGATGAGTAAGTATTCAGTAGAACATGCCGGGATATGTGTTGGAGCTGAAGGAATCTGTGGTTGAACCATAAAACTATTTAGCATATTGATACGAGTATGTTTTCCTCCACTAAACAGAAGTAGATAGTAGAGAAAAACCAAGGCTTTGAAATACAACAGCTGTGTGTATTTCTTGTATTTATGGTGTTCAAAACTAAGGATTTATTACCGGACAATGAAATGAAATTTTCCCTGAGTTTCTACTCCACTGAAGTTCTCAAAGCATTCTGACCATGTTGTCTGTGAAGAGACCCCTTCATTGTCATTAGGTATGATTCATTTTGCTTAGGTAAGAGTCCATGCAGGCACTGCTATTGGCCAGAAGAGAATCACTGAGCAAGCCTGTGAGAACATGGTCCCTCATGGCAGGAAGGATCCCTGTCCCTCTTTCATACCTCACTCCTGCTTTAAATGGCCTCTTGTTTCTTCTGTGTAGGGTTTGTGTGTAGTGCCTTGAGTGACCCTATGAGGGAGGAGTCCTTCTACTAGCCTAGAGTTAGTTAGGATTTGGCATGGGGCTCCCCCGCCTTCTTGAATATCTTGTCCTGTCTGTGTCCTGTCCTGTGGATTACCTGCACAGGCTCTCTTTCTTCATCAGCTGGACATGGTTTTGAACTCTGTTGCCTAAAACAGATGCATCTCAGAACAGATTTTCATCAGAAACACTAACCTTCCTCTTGGGAATGGCATGCTTATAGCTAAAAGATGGCTAACTATTTACATATTTTGCATCTCTGCCCTTGACCTATCCTTTACAATGAGTCATATTTTTTTTTAAGTTTGAGGGAACAGGAAAACAAGCATAAAATGTGACAGGCCTTGTGTGTATACTTAAGGCTTTATGTTTCTACCAGGACAGTGCTTCCTACAGATAGAATATGATTTAATAACCTACCTACTATGTATAAAATACCTTTTAGGAAATATGCATAATACACAGAAATATCTGTTTGTCTGGGTGATAAAACAGTTCACTTTGTGTGTCAGCCTGGGGTCAGATTTGAAAATCGTTGCTTTTTATCTATGTTGGGCTTTATTAAAGGCGCAGCATCCGTGCAGAATGGATTGCAAGAGAATTACTAACATCTCCTACCAGAGCCATTATCAGATTTAATAGTGACTCCCTGGCATACCTTGTTACTTATTTGAGCCTCTCACCAGTAAAAAGTCTTCAGAAGAAGTCATTTTCCCCCAATTGATTAGTTAAATGAATGGCATTATGTGGGAAAGTTACATAGCCATGCTTTGGGGAGAAGATGAACAGTCATTTAGAGCTTCCTGGGCCTGTTAAATAGTTATGAACTAATTAATTTGGTCTCATTCTGCTCTACAATGCATGTATGATAGCCTATCATAGCAGCTGCTATAGGCAGACTTTGAGATTCCTTACAATGCTTATAGCCATGCCAATAATTCCCAATGACTTAGAGAAGCTTCCTGAGTTTGCACACAGACAATATATTACGTTGTATTTGGTAACACAATGAAATCTGTGTTTAGTCCTTCCAGGCTATAAAAGATGCAATTTTCAGTGCCCTTTCAATTCCTGTTTCATGCCTCTAAAAATAAATATTGTTTCTGGGAGTGGGGTCACTCCGAGGTGACCTTCACAGTGTTCCCCCACACTCATTAGCAATGCCACCTTCCCGCAGATTGCCCGTGCCTTCCACCAACTAGAGCTCTTTTCCTTTCCTGTCTTACTGGTGCTTGTTGGACCTTGGCAGATCCAGTCATCTCTTGTCTCTGCTCTTGTAGGGACAAGCAGCCCTGGCTCCCATAATCCTGTGTGCCCATGAATGCCTCTCCCCCTGCTAGACTCAGCTACCAAGCCCTTGGCACCAGTACTTGGAACCCAATACTCAATTGTTGACTTCAAAGCATGTATGCAGCTGCTCGTCAGTCTTACATTTGCATTGTCCTGCCTATTCTAGGTGCCTACTGAGGCTGTGTGCCCTAAAATTTTTGTTCTTGCTCTTACTGTTTGTTGCTAGCAAAGTTTTTGTCCCTGCCCACAAAACAGCCCCGTCCACAGTCAAAGAGTCCCCCTACATCAATACATGTAATCAAGATACTCCCTGCAGCCATGCCCAAAAGCCCATCTCTCGGGAGATTCTAGGTCCTGTCAAGGTGACAGCACCAAGCATCACAATGATCTCCATATATTCTTTTCTACATTTATTTACCGTTGTGAGTGTCTCAGCTCGTCAGCATCCCCTTGACTCACCCCTTTTCTCCCTGTACCATACCTACAAAATGCCATGCACTCTGAGGACTTTGGGTTTGCCTTTCTTCTTTGCCTCTTGTATTCCTGTCCACAACCTGCAGGGAAGACTTCCAGTCTTTAAAGGAATGACTTCCTAGCATGGCAGATAGGGAACTCCTGTCTCTTCTTCGAGTAGCCAGTGTTGGGTGTACCACTGGTGTATTTGCCAGAGAGGCTAAGACTTGTTGCATGTTCTCATGAAGCTTGACACAGTGGTTTGTATAAGAAAAGCCAAAGTGATCAAGCAGGTGGTGTTTGAGTGTGATTTTGAAAAGTGAATGGTGGTATCAAAAGTATGGTGAAAGAAATGGACGATGCAGGCAGAGTAGTGGAGAACTAGGCATGTTTTAAAATACAAAGCCACCCCTCTGATTGCTTCAATCATGTAGACAAAGCAGAGGATCAGTGTTACCATAAATCTTTCCACCAAAAGCCACTGGAGCCCACCGCCACGTGGGTGGTCTCCGCCAGCGGCCTGAGGTCTGCCTGCCGTGTTAGGGCCCCAAATAGTACACAGAGACTTCTATTATGTACAAATGCTGCTTGGCCAATGACTAAGATTCTCATCTGTTAGCTCAGTCTTAATTATCATAAATCTATATATTTTATAAGACTTATCTTATAGAGGATGCCTTCCGCTGGCACCCTCTCTTGCCGGTGGATCACATGGTGCCTCTGGAGGAAGTGAGAGGGGGAAAGGGGGCACTTCCTGGTTGTCCTTCCTTAAATATGAGTCTCCCTGCTATGTCACTTCCTGCCTGGATCACCACTTCTTACTACATTTCCCAGAATCCTCCTAGACAACTAGTCCTATCTAACTTGCTGCCTCATTGGCTAAACAGTACTTTATTCAACAATCAATAAGATGAACATACACAGTACATTCCCCATCAGATCAGTGATGGGAATATTAGGTAAACTACAGACATATGTGATTGCCTCTGTATGTATAGCTAGGGCTTAGGTTTCATAAAGAGTGGGGGCTTATGGGAATGTTGGTAAGCAAGAGAATTGTATGATGTTTTTATTGATGGTCACGTTATTCTAGAAGCAGAGTAGAAGCTATTTTGGATGGGTCTGTATTTGGTAGGAGGACAATAGTAAGGAAGTTACAGCAATTAGCTATTTGTTTGTTTTGTTCTCCATATAACAGCCCTGACTGTCCTAGAATTCAGTTTGTGGACCAGGCTGGCCTTGAACTCAGAGATTTGCCTGCCTCTGCCTCCCAAGTGATGAGATTAAAGGCGTGTGCCATCACCATCTAGCATCAGCAGTTAATTCTTTTAAGTGATGAGTGCCTGAACAGAGGTTGCGGTCAGGAGAATAGAAATGGGGAGAGTGGTTTGATGAGTATTGAAGGGGGTGACTGGGATGGCAGATGAATAGAATTTCTAAGATACCTCCTGGGAGATGGAATATGCAGGGTGTAAGCAGGAGGGTTGCCAGTGTAGCCATATCTGTAGGACATCAGGATGGCAATGTTACTGGGGAACATGGGTGTACAGGTCAGGCACTAAGGAGTGTAGGTGTGGTCATGAGGGTGGATCAGGCATGCCCAGCAGGAATTGTGAGAGACTACCAGATGTTGATGAAGCCGGGGCAGAGGAGCAAAGGAGGTGAAGAACTCAAGCAGGATTATTTCTGCAGAGAAGACTTTTGAGGATGACTTCATTGCTTGGGGGGGAGGATTCGAACATGGCAGAGAGGTGCATAAGACAGGAGGGAAAATCAGCACTAAAACATTGTTAGTTGCTATAACTGGGAAAGTGGTTGAAGCCCTATGGGTAATAGTCTTTTAGAGGCTCTTATTTAATATATAACTTGCCTGTTTAAGTTAAGCAAAACAAGTCAAGGAAAACCATCCCATGGAGAGGGAGATGCTTGGCCCTGTCAAAAACTATCGATATCAGGGTCAAGAGTCTCCTGGGCTTTGGAATTTGCAGCCACTTTCAGGGACACACGAGTAGCTTCCATGCAGTGGTGAGGGCGAGTGGGATGTAGAGCTTAGAGGATGGATGAGTGGTGGACGTCTCTGAAGGCTTTGCACTCTGAGTGCAGTGGTGAGGGCGAGTGGGATGTAGAGCTTAGAGGATGGATGAGTGGTGGACGTCTCTGAAGGCTTTGCACTCTGCTTGTTGCTAGCACACCTCCAACATTCTCTGAACATCCTCATATCCACACATTGCTTCTCTTTGGTTACTAGATACATCCACTTTATTCTTTAAAATCCCAAGCCGTGAATCTGCTTATAATTAAGAGGCCTCAAATGTATTACCAGGAAGTAACTGTAGTTGATCCAAAGAGTTTCCAATATGTTATTTCTTTTGAGTAAGTAAATATGAAGGAAATGAGCTGTACTTAGTCTCCTTTCTTTAGATTCATATTTGCATTTTGTTTAATTCATCTTGCTGTCAGCATTGAGTTGTGATTGGCCATGAATGTGTCTCCTCACTCTGGTGGGTTCTTTGTTTGCCTTTTTCCTTACAAGAGTAAAGGAAAATATGTTGTCCTGCTGTCTGTCATCCCCTCCATGATATATGTCCATTCCATTGACAGTTATTCAGTTTGGGTTCGTCACCTTATTTGTGGCCTCTTTTCCACTGGCTCCCCTGCTGGCTCTGGTGAACAATATATTGGAAATAAGAGTGGATGCCTGGAAACTGACAACCCAGTTTAGACGCATGGTGCCAGAAAAAGCCCAGGACATCGGCGCGTGGCAGCCCATCATGCAAGGAATAGCCATCCTGGCTGTGGTGACCAATGTGAGTAGGCCTGGGGTCCACTATTATTATTACAGGTGTGGGTTTTTGCCTGCATGGATGTGGACCACATGTGTGCTTGGTGCCCAGTGAGAAATGAAGAGGGAGTGGAACCCCCTGGAACTGAAACTTCAGATGGCTGTGAACCACCATGTGGGTGCTGAGAAGAGAACCTGGGTCTTCTGCAAGAACAGCAAGTGTTCTTCACCACTATTTCTCTAGCTCCCAGTATGCTTTATAATTATTACTGACTCACCACCTCAGGCCATCCTCCACAGGTAGTATTGTAATAAGTACTGACACTTATGTGACATAAAAGACATCACCAAAGGGTACCTTTAAACATAGACAGATATAGGTTCACTCAGAGTCAGAGCACCCTAAAAGCACCCCACCACATATCACTACATATTCTAAATGACATCTTAAAATATTAACTGGGATGAAAGAGAAATTGGCCATCCTAATTGGATATCAGTTACCCTCTTGTCTCCAGGGAAACAGCTCTTATGGGAGGGTAAGCAGTCCCTATGGTATGGCTGCAGCAGCCTCATTACTGCATGTGTCCCCAGCTATGAGAGAACAGAGCAGGGTTGTGCAGCCTGTACAGGTTGCTTGTTTGGGCACAGGCCACGAGGCAGCTTTTAGGCCAAGCAGTTTGATGCCAGCCTATCGAAGGATCCTTTGCCTACAAATGTCCTCCCAACAAGAGTTATCTCTACCCATATTTCACTACCAATTCGCCCGCCCCTGGGCCATCTTCCCGAACAAAATGATTTTTTAATTAATTTTGACGTCTTAAGCCACAGTTGCTGAGTCCCCATGAACTCTTGGGAAAGCAGATGAGAAAGTGGCAGGGTCTGTCTCGGGCTCTGGAGGAGGGAAGTGGGCTGTGCAGTCAGGCCTGTCTGAGTTCCACTTCCCACACCACAGCTTGGGGTATGTGATCTTGACCCTGTACACTTCAGAGCCCCGTTTGTATTTGTTAGATGAATTCTGTACTCAGCATGGTTTGGGAAGTCCGTGAGTTACCGAAGACACATGGAGCCCGGCCCTCATTCATACATTTGCTGCTGCTTAACTTCATTACCCAACCGAGGACTCTGACAGGCACCTCAAAACCAGTCACCGCCCCCACCCCCACCCCACTGGATACAATGAAACAAGTTATATGGAACACAGCTGTCACCCCCACCCTCACCAATTTTCTGAATTGCAGGCTACCTCTAGCTTTTGGGAACTGATAGATTAAGTCAGTTTCCTTTCACCCAAATAGCCCCTACCTTCAATGCCCACTGTGTTTCAGAATGAAGACTGATGTTTACAGCCATGACAGCAAGGCCTTTCAAGTGCTACAGTCATGAGAGCACGAATCTGTCATTTCCAGTATGCTACACTACATTTGGCAGGGCAGCAATGCGGATCTGTGTGCTTTAGGAAGACTTTGGCAGGAAGGTTTGAAACTAAAAGGGTTTTTGTTTGACCTTCAGAAAAAAAAAAACAACAAAAAACAAAAGTTGATCTGGTTCAAATTCCTGATTCCTCAATCATTCTGGAGTCATTGTGTTAGATACCTTTTCCCTATATCCATGCCATGGCTCTTCTCCATCAGCACAGATGGGTGATTGGCTGGGTTTCCAAAGCACTGTGTGTGCCTGTGTGTGTGTTCACACACAGGCACACACACCCACTGGCTAATTGGGACTACTGGTTATTTTACCTGTGTGTGTGTTCACACACACACACAGGCACACACACCCACTGGCTAATTGGGACTACTGGTTATTTTTTCCTATAATATACCCTAAACAAAGCCCCTTACTAGATTTGCATTGTTGATTAAACTATGGAAAACCCTTGTTACACTTATAAAATGCATTGTACATATGCATACAGGTAACATGAAACATATGTTACCCCACATATATACCCCTCCCCCTGACACACCCCATGTGATGTCCGCAACTTAATATGTACAAAAGAAGGAAGAGAGGCCACCAAGATAGGAAACGCCAAGCAGGCGTGTGCCATGAAGTCATTTGAGTTAAGGCTGATGGTTCCATAAATAAGCACAGCTGACATTGTTGTGCCTTGCCAGAGCATCTGCTATTGAAGAGCAATTTTAATTTATTTTGAGATAAATGGAACTTGTGTGTAGAACAGCATGGGCAATGAGGCAAGCTCCGTTATGTGTATTCTTGCAGTGTATCTCAGGGGAAAAAGGTACCTTGTCAGAAAACGAGAGCGTTATCTTCCTTGCTGGAATTATTGTACCTTCCTGAAGCACATCTTCAGGTGATTCTGTAAAAAGATAGTGTTGAGCTAAGTGATATCGGGAAAACTTCATCTGCTGAAATCTAGCACACACCAAATCATCTTGTCTTACCTCACTACTGATAGGCAGGCAGACACACAATGCATGCATGTATACATATACATACATACACACCTCACTTCTGACAGGCAGACATGCATACATATACATACATATACTTCACTGCTGACAGGCAAGCAGACATGCATGAATACACACACATATACCCCTCACTGCCGACAGGCAGACATACATGCATACATATATACAAACATACCTCACTTTTGGCAGGCAGGCAGACATGCATGCATGCATGCATACATATATACATGCACAAACACCTCACTGCTGACAGGCAAACACATATGCACATATACCTCACTGCTGACAAGCAGACATTCATGTGTGTGTGCATGTGCACACACAAACTCACTGCTGACAGGCAGACACGCGCGCGAGCGCGCGCGCGCGCGCACACACACACACACACACACACACACATTGCTGACAAGCAGACATTCATGTGTGTGTGCATGTGCACACACAAATTCACTGCTGGTGGGCAGACACGCGCGCGCGCGCACACACACACACACACACACACACACAAACACCACACACACACACACACACACACGGATTCTTCACATCACAGAAAGCAAGGAAACTAGCTTTAGTGGGGAGTGGAGGGGTTAATTGTTTTCTTGCTTTGCCTGAATCTTGTTTGTTGGTTTGTGGTCTCACTGCAACTAAACCCTGTGTCCAGATTAATACTATTAAAAATCACTTTGTGCCAAAAACATGTCTGTTCTTGTGCTACAGCTGGTGATTAGCCCTTTGTCCTTCCTGCAAACCAATTTCATATACCGAGTTAAAAGCCAAATTAAAGATCTTTGGGGAAGGTCCATGTAATTCTAAATAGGCTTTTTCATCCAATATACTTCTGCCTGGGATAGACTCGGACTCCTGATTGACCCGTCTATTCCTTCTATGCAGGAACATACTAAACTGTGTTATATAATAATTTATGATTTCAGAACTTTATCCAGTTAATCTTTTGGAAGTTTGGATGCTCAGATACTAGATGTTTTAAAGCTAGCATTGTTTCCTGACTGAGTGAACAGAACAAACCCAATCTAGTTTATCAGACCATGGATTCTAAGTCTAAGATACCATGGGGATAAAGAGTGTGAGTTCAGCGGCCCTTCTACAGCTATACGTCAAGAGAGATGTATATTATTCAGTTTTTACTCTTTGTGAGAGACAAGTGATTTTTATGAAAAAAGTCAGTCTTGTATAAACACTTTATTCCACAAATGAGTTACATAAAGCAAGATTATCTTCCTAGTACTGACCTTAGTGTTATAAGAGCATTCTAGATCTAAACCATAGCAGACTCCTGGTTTAGATCTAGAGTAGAGCTCTGAGGTTAATCAGATACTGCAACTTTGAGAAGCACTGATTTACACACAAGTTATGCAAGCCAGTAATGCTCTTCATGGTACCACACACAGGACAGTGACTCTCAACAAATGGTGTATTTCAGAAACTCAGCGAGCAACTACTGGGCCTTTCCATCATGCCTTCCCTTAGAGACATCCCAGAGTGTCATCTGCTTTAAATGTGTACACCTCCCACTTAGAAATGCAACTTGATTTAAAAGAAAAAAAAAAGTGATTCTGTCATACAGAAATCCACAGTTTCCACTCTAAATTAACACTTCCTTTCTCATTTGCCACAACACAGGCCATGATCATTGCTTTCACATCAGACATGATACCTCGCCTGGTGTATTATTGGTCCTTCTCCATCCCTCCCTATGGGGATCACACTTACCACACCATGGACGGCTACATCAACAACACCCTCTCCGTCTTCAACATCACAGACTTCAAAAATGCAGACAAAGAAAACCCGTACATTGGGCTTGGCAACTATACCTTGTGCAGGCAAGTTTTGATTTACCTGTTTAAAATGCACTTCATCTTATGAAAGCCTTTTCAATATACGTGATAATATTCGGTCTGGTATCATTTGAGACTGTGTTAAGAGACAGTTTTTACATGGCTTTCTTTTTAATAATATTCAAAAAATTAAAAATAAAGACCAAGGGTGTATGGAGACACCATAACCATGCCTCCTAAGGGCTGGCTACAGGTGTGCTTGACCACGCCTGTCAGGGCGTGGTCAAGGGGAGGTCAGTTTGACAAGTGTTAGGTTCTTAAGGGGCTGCAGACACATGGGGACCCCTTCTCTCTGGCCTCCCTGCCTTGCTGCATCTAGGCATGCTCTGGCTTGCGCTTGGCTGGTATTTATCTGAATAAAGGTATTTTGAATCTACAAGCCCTCTCCTTCACCCAGGGTAGGACTGTAGGGGAAGCTGTCGCCAGCCCCTAAGAAGGCGTGGCTACAGCTTCCCCTACATCTTCTTATACTGTTAAGTTTTAATCCTCTTTTAGACTAAAAGGGGAA